AAGCCGACGGTTTTCCGGCGAAGAAGTTGAAGTTTGAAGAGTGGCCAATTGAAGACGGGAGTTTTCCTGGAAGAGAAACTCCGGCGAGGTTTCCTGGAAGAGAAACTTCGAGGGCTGCGGAACGACAACAACGCTGGACTTTGAGTGAGTGATTCTCGGAAGAGTATCATCTCGACTTTGGTTCCAAGAACTTTGGACTGAATAGGTTTTCTATCTCTTTAGTCTTTAAGTGTCTTGGTTGTTCAATGCATGCGACTGCATCGTAGTTCGTATTGTTGTCTGTGTCCGTTGTTTTGAGTGTGGCTGATTGTATTGTGTAGTACGTTGATTGATTGGTTTGATTGGTGACATATTGTATGCAACTATTGTGGAGAGGGCATTTTTGTGTATTGTTTCTGATCTGCCATTATTGAGAATATAATTTTGTTTGTTTATCAACTCTCGGCTCTGACTTGTTCTTGGACCACAGCCGGCGTCCGCTGGCGCACCAATAAGGACCACTCTTAAATTGTCCACGCTTTCGTGGTGCGGTTCGGGGGGCCGATACTTCGGCTCTTAGAATTAGCCCGGCGATTGCCTCCCTAATAAACGGGACAGGTGTGACAATTAATCTGGCGTCCGCGAAACAGGACCTTTTGGTGCACAGTGTGTCCAAAGTAGTGAGAAAGAGCCTCGAGTTGTTGATAGTGCTATCGGAACGATTTTGTGTGTTGTTCAGTGTTCTCGTTAACGAGTGCAGGGGAGTGTTCCGATAGACTGATTTAGGCAGATACTTTTGCACGCGGCAAGGTTTATTTGCGAGTTGCGAGACACAATGGATCTCGAAAAGTTAGTTGCTCTTGGTGAAAAGATGGGTCTTTCTGGCGCCGAACTACGGAAGTGGGTCACCCAGAAGGAAAAAGAAGAAAAAGAGCGAGCCAAAGAAGAAAAAGCAGCCGAGCTGGAAAAAGAGAGGTTGGCGGTCGAAAGAGCCAAAGCGGAAAAAGAAGCTGAGGTGGAGAGAGAGAGGTTGGCGGCAGAGAGGGCCAAGGAAGAAAAGGCAGCTGAGTTGGAGAGAGAAAGGCTGGCCGCTGAAAGGGCGAGAGAAGAAAGAGAAGCAAAGGAGCGACAGCTGAAAGAAGAAAGAGAAGCAAAGGAGCGACAGCTGAAAGAAGAAAGAGAGGCAAAAGAGCGACAGCTGAAGGAAGAAAGAGAGCAGCAATTGAAGTTGGAGCTGGAGAGAGAAAAGTTGGCAGCCGAAAGGGCGAGAGAAGAAAGAGAAGCGGAGATGGCTGAAAGGGAGCGGCAGCGGCAACACGAGATGGAACTCGAGCGGCTCCGTTTGCAACAGCGAAGTGAAACTCCCGTCCAAGCTAGAGTTGAAAGCAGCGAACGGGAAGATCACGGCTTCCGCTTGAACCCAAGCAAGCTGCTCGTAGCGTTTGATGAAAGGAAGGACGACCTAGACGCGTACCTCCACCGATTTGAGACGATTGCGAAGAGCCAGAATTGGCCGGAACATCAATGGGCAACTGCTTTGAGTACCTGCTTGAGTGGTGAAGCGCTCAGTGTGTACGGTAGGCTGACGCCGACCGATGCAGCCAACTATGCAAAGGTGAAAGCTGCTTTGCTGAAGCGATTTAGATTTACCGTGGAAGGATTCCGGGACAGATTTAGGACAGGAAAGCCAGCTGATGGGGAGACGGCTACGCAGTATGCCGCCCGACTTTGTCATTATTTCGACAGATGGATTGAACTTTCAGGGACAGCACAGGAGTACGATGAGCTTAGAGAGCTCCTAATTAGAGAACAATTTCTTACTAGTTGCCACCCAAGCCTGTCGCTGTATTTGAAAGAGAGGAAGGCTGAGTCCCTTGAAGGAATGCTTGAATTGGCTGATCAATTCTTGGAAGCGCAAGGTGGCACTAATTTGGCCAAAGTCAAGAAGGAGTGTCCCGACGATTCGAAGAAATTGGCTCCCGAAGAAAAGAAGCGTGCACCAGAGAGCATTCCGCGATGTTTTCTGTGCAACCGAGTGGGTCATCGCGCGAAAAACTGTCGAACGATCTTTACGAGCCCTACGGTTGTAAAATGTTTTAAGTGTGGTCAGACTGGGCACAAAGCAGATGCATGTCGAAACGGAGTGAGTCAAACTCACCAGGTATCCTGTGTGCAAGCAGCACCGAAATCTGATAATAATGCCGTCACTGATGGATTCGTAGAGTTGAAGAATGGGGAGAAAATTCCTATTGTGGGGGCTGTAATGTCAAAACAGCCAACCGGTGTTACGAAGGGAATGCCAACGCTTCCTGGAAAGATTGCAGGCAAGAAGATTACGGTTCTAAGAGACACCGGTAGCTCCACGGTTATCGTGAGGAGAAATTTGGTACGGGAAAGTGAGCTAACAGGCAAAACAAAACCGGTTTGCTTAATTGACCGTACAGTTCGGATGCTTCCCGAAGCAGAGATTGAGGTGGAAACCCCGTACTTCAGCGGAAAGGTTACTGCTTTATGCATGACGACCCCCCTGTATGACCTTGTCATCGGAAACATCGACGGGGCGCGAGGGCCAAGTGATCCAGAATGTTTGGGAGAAGACCCGAAGATAGAGCCCTCGCCAACACAGCGACTGCGAGATACAGTTGAGGAGCAGCCCGCGACGGATCTCAGTAGAGCCCAAGGCGAAGCCGCGGCGCAAGAGACAGCGAAGGAGAAGACGATCGTGTCGAATAATTTCACGGGCCGAGCAACCGGACTTACGTCGGCACGACCTCAACCGACCGACAGTGAAAAGGAGACGGAGTTGGCCAGCCGGGCAAGATGTAGAGGCATGATCCAGCGGGTAAATAAACAGACAGGACCCGTCAAATGTAATGACGCACTAACGGTGTCGGAAGAGACAACGATGGCTGAGACGACGCCTCAGATATCGTCGTTGGAAAGGGCTCGCCGAAAAAGAACGTGGAAGCACAAGAAGAGATCGAGCGAGCACCGCAAAAAGGGGCGCAAGCGCTGTTCGAAGTACTCAAGATAGGTGCTGAGGTGGAATCAGAATGTGTTTGGCAGAGCTGAGTGACATATGTTGTGTTAATGTTCTTGTTATCCTGTGTCACAAGTGTCGAAGTGTTGTGCTGTGGTGTGATGTATAGTGTTGTATAATTGTTGTATAGACAGAACCTTGTACGTTTGTATTGTTTGGAATGTGTGATGAAGTGTTGTAATCATGTGCCGTGGTTATATTCATGTGCTGTGGAATTGAACTACAATGTAAGATTGTATTGAGTGATATATTGTGAATGTGAAGTGTCATGAGCGACGGATTGTGTTACAGTCTGTGAGAATGTGTGGTGACTGTTCGCGCTCGTTTGTGTAGTTTTGAATATTATGAGATAATATTCTTAAAGTGGGGGGCAGTGTCACAGAACGAGCGCTAAACAAGAGCGCGCCGCCAAATCCTTGCGACAACGGGGCGGCCGAAACGCCGCGAGGGTAAAAAAGAAAAAAAAAAAGAAAGCAACATCAGGGCTCCCGGGCGCGCGCTCTCCCCGCAGAAGCACGGCTTCGCAGACGATCCTCCTCACCCCACATCGGCGGCCCAGCAAGGCCGCGATTTTTCTAGAACGAAGGAGGCGGGGTCAGACCGAGTGAAATCATCCTCCGGAGAGGGCCGTCGAACCGTCTCGCACCTCTCCCCAGCTTTCGCTGCGTATCGCGCCGACGAAATGACGAGAAGCGTCTGGAATGTCGCGCGCAAGGTATTTAATCGAGCGGCCGAGACGAGAAAGCAGGAGGAGACGGAAGTTAACGCCAGAGCGCGTAGGGATTCCGCCGTGGAGTCGGCGAAGGTTCTGCCCGTAGTGACAGGACAGGAGGAGACGGAAGTGAGCGCCAGAGGGTGCGTAGAGATTCCGCCGTGTAGTCGGCGAAGTTTTTGGTCCGTAGGGACGGCTCGAGCTACAGGCAAGAGCGTGAGTTTACCGCTATCGAGCGAAGACGCGGGCAACAGCTGCGTGTGTGAGCCGACGGTTTTCCGGCGAAGAAGTTGAAGTTTGAAGAGTGGCCAATTGAAGACGGGAGTTTTCCTGGAAGAGAAACTCCGGCGAGGTTTCCTGGAAGAGAAACTTCGAGGGCTGCGGAACGACAACAACGCTGGACTTTAAGTGAGTGATTCTCGGAAGAGTATCATCTCGACTTTGGTTCCAAGAACTTTGGACTGAATAGGTTTTCTATCTCTTTAGTCTTTAAGTGTCTTGGTTGTTCAATGCATGCGACTGCATCGTAGTTCGTATTGTTGTCTGTGTCCGTTGTTTTGAGTGTGGCTGATTGTATTGTGTAGTACGTTGATTGATTGGTTTGATTGGTGACATATTGTATGCAACTATTGTGGAGAGGGCATTTTTGTGTATTGTTTCTGATCTGCCATTATTGAGAATATAATTTTGTTTGTTTATCAACTCTCGGCTCTGACTTGTTCTTTGGACCACAGCCGGCGTCCGCTGGCGCACCAATAAGGACCACTCTTAAATTGTCCACGCTTTCGTGGTGCGGTTCGGGGGGCCGATACTTCGGCTCTTAGAATTAGCCCGGCGATTGCCTCCCTAATAAACGGGACAGGTGTGACAACCGTCTCCCGCTAAAGGGAACCATTGTGCAGATGCGAAGCAGCGGACGCTAACGCTTACACTGGCGGCGGCATTGACGCTGGTGCTCTCCCATCGCGGCGATGCGCAGGAGAGACACCTGGGGAGGCGCAAAGCATGCAGTGATAGACCGGTGTTTCCTACCGGAACATACCAATCGCTTCTAGTGGGCCGTGAGGGACAAAAACATTGGCTTGTGAATGTAACTTATTTATCAATCACGCGACTGACTGAAAATCCATAAGGGCAACGAAAGTTCGGCGCACAGTTGCGTCATCGATAGGGGTCTTGACTTGGGCGAACCATCTCACTTCCGTCTGCATGGCGAAGTTTACAACGTGACCCCGGTTAAAATGTTCTCAGAGCGTACAGCGAGATTTTTTGATCGCGCGTAACGAACAGTGATTGACAGATCCGCTACGCGGACGCAGATTAACAGCGCACGCGACTCGCATACGCGCGGGCTCTCTTCTTGCTTTCAGGGTATCTGCTGCTCTACCCCTTTCTCTCCTCTCCGTTACGTCAGTGCCAATCAAGAGGCGACCGTTGCTCGCGGTCGCACACCTCGCCAGTCGCGCGCGGGCTTCCCTCTCGTCCACACGTGTCACGCAGAGAATAGCCGTTGATATATCATCTCTTTACGGCGCCCCGTGAACACTCTCCGAGGCGACGGCGTCCGCAGTATCTTATTCCCCGCCGCGCCTAGGCCTGTGTTGGCGCATCCCGTTGAGCATAGCGGATTTGACTGCTAGGGGTGAGACAGTACCTGGCCCATTTCAAGAAGACGCTCGTCCGGTGGCGAACAGGCGTAAGTGCTGCGTTGTGAAATAATTCGTGCGGCATGTATCGCCAACAGCAGAGACGAAAAATGTGTCCCGCCAGACTTCTCGCTTATCTAAGCGTCGGCGTCGTGGTGTCAAGTGGTTCCGCTGCCGTGAAAGAGCAAGGTGAGTCTTCGATGTCCCGTTGCGATTATAACCTTTGATTGCTGTTCGCGCCTTTGCACGCTACGAGTGTCGGAAAGAAAGGCGAGGGTAGATTGTGCCGGCGAAATTGTGATTATCGGCGCTGCTTCACGATCGGTTGCTCAGCCCGCGGATACGTTCGAGAACCACAGTCGCTACTCCCACACCGTTCGGCAAAGAAACCGCGAGTCAGTCTCGGTCACCACTCTCGCTGCCATGGATTCATTCTGTTTCCATCTCATTCATTCCTTATTACTGCCTCGTTTCGCTGAGGATAGCTGATTGTCACACCTGTCCCGTTATTAGGGAGGCGATCGCCGGGCTAATTCCAAGAGCCGAAGTATCGGCCCCCCGAACCGCACCACGAAAGCGTGGACAATTTAGAAGTGGTCCTTTTTGGCGCGCCAGCGGACGCCGGCTGTGGCCCAAAGAACAAGTCAGAGCCGAGAGTTGATAAACAAACAAATTATATTCTCAATAATGGCAGATCGAAAACAATACACAAAAATGCACACTCCACAATAGTTGCATACAATATGTCACCAATCAAACCAATCAATCAACGTACTACGTAATACAATCAGCCACACTTGAAACAACGGACACGGACAACAATACGCACTACAATGCAGTCGCATGCATTGAACAACCAAGACACTTAAAGACTAAAGAGATAGAAAACCTATTCAGTCCAAAGTCCTTGGAACAAAAGTCTGAATGATACTCTTCCGAGAATCACTCACTCAAAGTCCAGCGTTGTTGTCGTTCCGCTGCCCCCTGAAGTTTCTCTTCCAGGAAACCTCGCGTCTTCAATTGGCCACTCTTCAAACTTCAACTTCTTCGCCGGAACACGTCGGCTTCACACACGCAGCTGTCGCCACGCGTCTTCGCTCGATAGCGGTAAACACACGCTCTTGCTTGTAGCTCGAGCCTTCACCCCTCAGGTGGAAATCCTCTTCTTCTGCTGCTTGGTCCCAACGGACAAAACCTCCGCCGACTACACGGCGGAATCCCTACGCGCGCTCTGGCGCTCACTTCCGTCTCCTCCTGCTTTCTCGTCTCGGCTGCTCGATTAAATACCTTCTGCGCCACCTTCCAGAACGTTCTCCTCATTTCGTCGGCGCGATGCGCAGCGAAGGCTGGGGAGAGGCGCGAGACGGTTCGACTGCCCTCCCCGGAGGATGATTCAACTCGGTCTGACCACGCCCCGTTCCTTCTAGAAAAATCGCGGGCTTGCTGGGCCGCCGATGTGGGGTGAGGAGGTTCGTCTGCAAAGCCACGCTTCCGCGGGGAGAGCGCGCGCCCGGGGAGCCTTGGACGTTTGCTTTCTTTTTTTTTCTTTTGACCTCGCGGCGTTTCTCCCGCCCGTTATCGCAAGAATTTGGCGGCGCGCCCGTTTTTAGCGCTCGTTCTGTGACACTGATCACGCATACTCTCTTGATTCTAGCGTTCAAAAGCTTTATCTAAAAGACCGAAATGGGTCATACAAGGCAAGTTTCGCACTTCATTTTTCGGCCTAGCAACGACAAGTTAATTAATTGCTGGCTGGTTGCCAGAGGGCCGGTGCTCTAAGCGAAGCTGCATATTGTCATCACAGAGCTTTTCGTTCCGAGCAAGACAGCCAGATTAAGTGCCCATAATGTGACAACATCCGCGACAAGCATCTGACAAAATCTTACAGAGCCATGTCTAGGTCCAAGCTAGTCGGGATTCGCGCCGCTGAGTAAAGGTTCATTTATACAATAAACAAAGTGCTCTCACCATCGGAGTTTCGATAAACCCTTGTACACAGCTCCCCCCCCCCCCGCTATTTCTAGATATCATATACTCTCGGAAATATGATTTAATTCTTATGATCACTTCAAATTATCTATTTTAGTTTAAAAACATTGCTGCTATTTGCCCCTACAGAAACTTAATTGCTCAAGTATAATACTACTGCACGATGAAGTTTTGTCATCCGCCACCCACTGTAAACAAAAATAAGCCATAAGGGCGTTTTAAACAGGTTCATCATCATCATCATCATCATCATCATCATCATCATCATCATCATCATCATCAGCCTGACTACGTACACTGCAGGACAAAGGCCTCTCCCATGTTCCGTCAGTTAACCCGGTCCTGTGCTTGCTGCTGCCAATTTATACCCGCAAACTTCTTAATCTCATCTACCCACCTAACCTCTTGTCTCCCCCTAACGCGCTTTCCTTCTCTGGGAATCCAGTTAGTTACCCTTAACGACCAGCGGTTATCCTGTCTACGCGCTACATGCCCGGCCCATGTCCATTTCTTCTTCTTGATTTCAGCTATGATATCCTTAACCCCCGTTTGTTTCCCTAATCCACTCTGCTCTCTTCTTGTCTCTTAAGGTTACACCTACCATTTTTCTTTCCATTGCTCGCTGCGTCGTCCTCAATTTAAGCTGAACCTTCTATGTAAGTCTCCAGGCTTCTGCTCCGTAGCTAAGTACCGGCAAGATACAGCTGTTATATACCTTTCTTTTGAGGGATAGTGGCAATCTACCTGTCATAACGTCAAGCAGGTAATGTGCGCTTTTTTCACCCATCCCGAAAAACGAACTCCCTTGAAAGGGCATAAAATGGGCTGAAACCATTTTTTTTACTATGATCATCAAAAATTTGAAAGTATGGGAGTTAAACCAGTCTGAAATGGTAGTGACTGAAAAGTAAAACGAAAAAGAAATTGGCATGGGTCAGAAGGGTGTATCTAAATACGCCCAATTGGGCAAGAAAAAACAAGCGAGAAGGATCGTTCGAAGCCTCAGGCGTCAACGTCGGCAAAAGTTATCTCAGTAGGCAAGTTTGAAGTAGCCCGCGCCACGCCGACGCTCTTCAGAAAGTTCATGAACCAGCGCCTTACGGATCCGGCGTATCAAGAACGACACGCACGCCCGGCGGAGAAAGCGGTCCGGACTATGCCATCTTGTGTACGTCGGAGCGCGGGAGAGTGCGTCGCTTCTCTACTACCACAGAACACCTACCCTAAAAATGTCTGAACAGCAAGCAGAGGGGGGGTAGTCGAGCATCTTTCTCCTTTCCTAGTGATGACTCCGAGACGAGCTATCAAGCTTTTTAAAAAGTATACAATACGCAATAACACTACATTACCCGCAAAGCAAGCGAGAGAAGACAGTAGGCTAGCCTCCAAGTTCTTAATATAAATCTCTTCATTTGTTTGTAGTCGTATCACAGGGTTTGGGTCTCAAGGAGCAAGATCGTCTCCTGAAAGCTGAAAAAAAAAATGAAGTTGTATTGAGACTGCATTCATCAGTGTATTTCGTGAATGGTGCTCGCATACTGAATATGAATTAACTTTTTTTTTATTAAGTGTGTTAAACACGTCTTCTGCATTTGCAGAAGTTCATAGAAGAGTAGCATTTGTGACTGTAAATCTCTAATGCTGGATGGTTCATCTGAAGTCACCACATTGACCACATTCACTGTTATGCATTTTTGTTAGCAATAGAATACAGATGATAAATCCATTTCCTTGTAGATAGCACGAAGTTTGCCACATGCATCCTAGGCCAGTCGGTTTGAGTTGAGGATTGCCTTTGTGAACGCATCATGATGCTTCAGTTGCATAGGTAAAAAGCTGTAAGGAGTACTCAATTTAAAAAAAATATATTTATGAAGTTAAAAAATAATACTGTCTAGTAACTACATCTATGTTTAGCTCATATATAACACTTTCAAATGAGCTATCGTGCATATTTTTAGTCCAACAACAAGGTAACTTTTTGCTGCTGTATACAGAGTTTTCCGGGAAAAGAAGTGAAATTTGCACATTTTTTTAGATGAACTGCTACACATTGACCACCTAAATTACTTTTATTTGTAGCATGTCAAACAGGCTGATTGCACCTATTCTATGTGTGCTCTTTGAGCTAGCTGATATACTGGAAAAAAATATGCTTCTACAAATTCATGCACTTTGCTCGTGTGAAAAGCCCTAAAAATTGATATACATAAATAAATAATTACTTTTGCAGTTTCATCAATTCATTATCTTGCCGTAAATACTATTGTATTGAGTGCATTCGAAAAAAAAACATCTTTTAAGAAAACAATTGTTTTTAACGCCCTCTAGCTCAGTAGGCGAAAAACTAGACTCTTGTAAATATGCCGGAAAGTTTTCGGCAATGGAAATAAACGAGCAGGACAAGTTTCGAGCTTATAGGAACACGTGGAAATTATTTCAGCTATATTAGTGGTGGTCGGAGAAACGCTGAATGATTTGAAATGGCGTGACCCAATAGCGTGCAAGTATGCTAGTTGACGTCAGTGACGATTTATCAATGTGTAGTGTAAGTTCTGGTGTTGTAATGCTACAATTTTTATTTGCTGTGTGTGTGTGTGTGTGTGTGTGCTGGTTTGTCCCATTGCCATTTTAAATGCAATATGCCAGAAAAGCAGAAGCTTAGACAATTTTGAATGCAATCATTAGAAAGCATTAGCAGAGAAAGTGAGACAGAAAAAGCTGTCTGCTTGCTCTGTACATTTTTCCAGTGGTATATGTTTGGTTAGTACTTTTATTGCATTATAGTTCTATGGAACGTGTAATTCTTCATATGTACATGAATGCCTTCTTTGAGGTATATCAATATGGTCGCTAATAGTACTAAAGCGACAAAAATATTGTAGTGCTCTTTAACCTCTCTTGTATTGCGATTTGAAGCTGATGTGGGATAGTCAGGTAAAAATGGCTTTGCTGAAAGCTGAACCAATAGTGCCTTTAGGTTTTTATTTTATTAGAGAAAAATATAGGTGCATCCATCTAATGCATTTGAAGATTGCCCATTTATTCTTTATATATAAGTGCCACGGGGAAAAATAAATGTCCAGAAATCTCTAAGAGAACTTTACTCACTGGTGTAGCACTTAATTCAAACAAGTACCGTTAGTGGATTTCTTGACACATTTTAATTAAGTTCTACATATATGTTATTGGGCATAGTC